TTCATTGGCACAAAAAGGAAACAGAGATTCAAGGCAGATGGTTGAGATAAGAATGAAGATAGTATACGTATGGCTGGAGCAATCCTTATGCTCTATTCATTAGAAATCTTGATGTGAAGACAGAGGAAAGTGAGAAACCCCAAAGATGGTTTATCATTTACAGGGCATGGTGGATAAATTAGCCATGCACATTTATTGGATTCGGTGAATGAAAAGAGCCTCTTCCAGCACGCCGAAGGAAATTACAATTGGGTCCACCATGTGTTCCAGTGATATAACCCTAAACACTGAAAAGCTGGAGCACTCAGGCAAGTGCATATTCAAATGTCCCTTTATCAAACTCTTCAACTTCATCTTCCCATGTAGAGGAAGGCATGCTACTATATGGGTCTAACAGGATTTTGAAGCATCTGATAATAAGAAGTCCCAAGAAGATACACAAAATCCCAACAAAAGCAAAGCCAGTTTTTTGCTCCAGAGTCAATGAGAAAGCTGATACTTCGTTGACACTCATCTTAGCTGAAGAGTTGCCACAGTAGGTACTACTCATTATTCACTGTCTCATCATTTTGGCTCTTCAGAATTCCTCCTGAGGTGACCTCTTGGCCTAGATACAAAATTGGAGTCAGTTTAGTTTTATCCAAATATGGCATCAGGCAGGTAATTGTTTTATAAAATATGGCATTTTTCAAACTCTCTTGACTTAACTCACAAGATATTTGTAAACATCATCATATATAGATCAGGATTAAATTGGTGTTGGAGATGCTACTTCTATTGTAGTAATTACAGAATTGCCTTTGTAGATACATAAAACTGTACCTATAGACACAAAATATAAAATCAAGTATGAAGGGGAATAGTTAAATAATTAAACCTAAAAGCTTTTGATTCATTGTGAGATGGTTTGTTCACTGCTTCTTTGACCCAAATTGTCATCTAATTTTCACTTCATTTTTACATATAACAATAAAACCATGAATGATTATTAAGTGTAAGCTGGTCAGGCTCTCTAAAGTCCATGTTTTAAGGTCTATCTCCAGTGCCATTTTGTCTGATACAGATTCTGATCTTTTTAAACAGATGTAGTATCTTCTTTCTTCTTCATCCTCTTAGCTTTAAGACTTACATCCTTGTGTTTTCTTTTCTACTACCGCTTCATACACTAAATGTTAATTTCTTAAACAGAGAAATTGTGTTTTAAACATTATGTTTAGAAGAGCAGTACCTAACGTAGTAGCCTGCAAGTAACAAGCAGCAGTAGCTCTGGACCATTAACCATCTCCCCACCATCTTCATTAGCTTTCACACACTACAAAGACACAAAATCCAAGTTAAGCAGCATGTTTTCTATGAAATTCACCTGCAAGCAAGCTCCCCAGACTCCTTCCCAACCAGATTCCCGCTCTCTCTAAGCTCCTACTATATTGAGATTCTAAAACTCCAACAAAAGTGTTCAGAAAGTGTGTGCTGAATTGAAGCAAAGCAGATTTTTTTCCATTTGATGTCTTGATGTTAATTAAATTAATTAATTAAAAAGTAAGATTCGATAATTAAATCAAATGGTTGCTAATGCACAGCCGCCCTTCTTGAGAGAACTGTCACCAAACAGCTTGTCATCCAGTAACTGAGACTGACAGGCTGCTGGTGTCCTTGTCTTCGTTGTTGCTTCTCTCGATAGTTTTAAGTTATGTTTATTAAAATGACTGACCCTTCAGGGTTTTTTGGATTCAGTTTTCCGAAAACAACTGAGACAGGACAAGGAATGGGAGGTAAGGAGTGGAGAAAGGGAGTAATTATAAGGACAAGCCTTGTAGCTTTCAAAATTGTTCACCAACTAACACACCAGTTAATATCAAACAGTATTATATTTTATAATGATTTGATTTACAAAACAGCTCTCTCTTCAAACCTTAAGTGTCATAAATATTCAATACATTCTGGGATATGTTGGTTATTTCACATTTTTGTTTAATAAAAGGAAAAGAAATGTTGTTCAACCCCATTTACTGTATTTCCTTACTTCAAATCATTTTTCTGCCCTAAGTATGGTATAGCAAATATATTTTAATTTTTTTAAAAAAATTTGAGATCACTTAAGTGCTTTCAGAGTGATTTTTCTGAAAATTGAGCTCTTGTACTATTTATCCTATAGAAGGTAGGGGAGACTGGTCTGATTATTTCATGACCTTGGGCCTTAACTAGAACTTTTTTCCTGACCAAATCTCTAGTTTTATTGCTTTGTCAATTGAAGGTCTTTTGTTGCGATTCATACACTCTCTGGTTCATTTATTTAATGAGTAGACAAACTAAAAAGCAGCATGTTTCTACAGAGATGCTGACCCAACTGTTTGACCGATTCAGCCAAGTAACTTGCTTGAATTATTTTTTTCACTAAGTCCATGACCTTGCTAGGCTATACCATTTGAATATTTTCTGGGACATATGGGTAAGAAGAGGCAATAAACTTGGTTTACTGGTGGACACGTTAAACAGATTCCCAGAAGTGAATGACTTGTTGCCCAGCAGCTGGGAGTGTTGCCCCAGACAATCTTCAGCTGATAGCTCCTTTCATGGATTGCTTCAATAGCAGAGAGCTGCCTCACCCAAGGTTACCTCCCTTCCAATGGCAGACAGTTTTCCAGGACTGATTCATGTGAGAGTAAAAAGGCCTGGCCATCCTGACTCAAAGGGGAACAAAAAGAACCACTCTAGCTCCAGAGTTTGCCATGGGGTAACCCGAGGCTGTTGTTGGTTCATCATAGCTCAAATTCTGCCCACTCTTGCTTAGTTCCCCTCTCCTCCACAGGTGTTGAGCCCAAGGGCACGACTTAATATACATCCTGCACACTAAACTCTGTCTCAGAGTCTGGTTTCTGGGGAACACTATCTGCAAAACTTGATGTCACAAAAGGTAAAACATCTCCACAGTTTTAATGATCTGTACATTTTTCAAGCTAGCTTATTTTGCCATCGTGTAAAAAAAAATAGCCTAAACTGAGTATAGTTATGAGATTAATTAAATTTATTTATGTGTTATTAAAAATCATAATGTAGCTACGTACATAGGGTCATAACCGATTATTAGAAGACTTAAGTCAGTTTGCACTTAGCTCGTGATTAATCCACTACACTCTGTTATTCTTATTAAAACCGACAACATAACGCCATTTGCAGCAACATGGATGCTCCTGGAGAATGTCATTCTAAGCGAAGCAAGCCAGAAAGAGAAAGAAAAATACCATATGAGATTGCTCACATGTGGAATCTAAAAAACAAACAAACAAACAAAAACAAAGCGTAAATACAGGACAGAAATAGACTCATAGACAGAGAATACAGACTTGTGGCTGCCAGGGGGGCGGAGGGTGGGAAGGGATAGACTGGGATTTCAAAATTGT